TTGCTGCGGCTCTGGCTGTTGCCTGTTGCCAGATGCCTTGGTTATGCCTTGGTTATGGCTGTAAATTAAATTTATGAACGCAAAAAACAGCGGCAGCGGCAACGAGGAACAGAGCCACATTAACTAAAGCCAAAGATCCATCCGACGCATCCGACGGGGCAGTTTGTGAGAAGAAATGCATCAATGCATGAAATGAGTTTTTATGGCTTACATAAAATGGCCTTGAACGCACCTCCGCCCCGTATTCTTTCTATATTTCTATCTTTCCATCTTCCCATCTTCCCGTCAAGAGAGCTGAGCTGTGCTTTGGCAACCTATCAAATGTATCTTGGTTAGCTAAGACGCGGTGGTTCCACTTGTTTCACTTTATTTGGCCAGATCCCCAAGAATGGAAGCCACTGGTCGTCAGTGGTCGTCAGTGATCGTCAGTGGTGTGGAACATCAAATGGTATGGTTCTGTGTGCCGTGTGCTGTAAGCTGTAACCGATGTGATGCGTGTAATACGCAGTTGGATAATTTGCGTAGCTCAAGCTCCAGTATGCTTGCTCAAGAGTTTACTGAACCCTGTTTCACTGGGACGGTCTTGCGACCAAAGTGGTGAAATTTATGAGTGGAGTGGAAACACCAGCACCGCTAATGGCATCCACCGAACTTGGTTAAGGTTAAGGTTAAGTTCTAATAACGTAGCTAGTCCGGATCGTACCAGACGATCTTTACGATCAACTCCGTTCTTATTTATGTTTTTTAATTATTTCCATCTGACCTAAATCCAAATGCACATATATACATACATACATAAGTATTGTAGATGACATAAGCAAAGACCATAACCATAAACGTATCCAGGAAACAAGTTAATTCAATCTTTCCGCAATCGGAGGTAGTCATTTTTGGACACTTAACGTGTTCACATTTATCGCGTTTGCTTTTCGCTTTTCGTTAGCGTTGGAGCTGGAGTTAGAGTCAGTGTCAGGAGAAGAAACTAAAACACAGTTGTTTTTATGTCTATTTACGCTACAATAATCTCTGAGAGCACGAGTAGTCAGGGCTAAGTTGAACACCCCCAAATAATTGTGTAAAAATGCTTCAGACTGTAACACATTCAGCGCCAAGGCGTGCCTATAAATCAGCTTTTAATCGTCTTTGAAATCAGCTCCATCTGCAATCGGTAATCTGTAATCGGTAATCAGTGATTACCAAGCAAATTAACATTCACTTTTGCAGTTTTATAGTTTAAAATCAAAACAGAGGCGGCTTTTTATGTGCTCAGGAATTGCAAGTGAAAGTTCAACTATGGCTCTAGTACTGCGGCGACAAGCCTAGATATCAGACCAGACCCACACCACAAAATACTTACAGTTGCACAAAAATTATCCATATTTTATCCTCTCAAGAAACCCAGCTTCTGCGTCCAGTATCTCGACTCTCCCAGAATGTTTTTCACGTTCGCTTGGAATGGCATGTTTTCTTAGCTTATCATCCACTTTGTCTGTTTGCCAATAAAGCATTACATCATTTCGTATTGCAAATGCAATGGAGAAGCAAACCTGTCCGAACCACTGACTTATTTATAGCCCGGCTCAGTGTTTGACTACCGCCAACGATACGACAGGTTTTCCATCTGATGCCGGCTGATGCGTCTCTAAATTGCAGCAGAAGGAAAAGCTAGCTTTCGATTCGACGATTCCTGGCACATCCCTTGCATATCGCAGCAGGCATATCGTGTCGCAGGAGGACATATCAAAATGATCCTTATATGTATGTACATACATATGTACACGGTAGGCATATGAGGCTAACGAAGACTCGTTCCAAGCAGACAAACAAATATATCATATATTGTTCCATTTGTATCATATATAGTTGATTTACTGATGGCCCAGGCTCTTCCGGGTTGCTCCGCTAATTGGAAAAGGTCATCCGTCACAGCACAAATGTTTAATGTCCAACTCAGTAGCTGGCTTCCTGCCTTCCAAATCTTCAAAGTCTAAAGATAGAACAGAATCTTGCAGTTGCAGTTGCAGTTGCAGTGCATCGCTGGGGCAGAGACAGGGACACGGACTGTGGCAGGGGCAGGGGCAGGGGCAGCCTTGTCTGGCGTTCGCTGCGTTCATTGCCATTTATTATTGCTGCCATCCATGAAATACTTTTACGGCTTCGCTTCGGCTTCTGTCCCTGTAAAAAAGAGGCACACACACCCGTACCCCCAATATAACCACTGGAAGCATCAGCAAGCGATTTTAGCCCAATGAGCTTAGCGTTAATTAAGTTTTCAACATTATCGATTTTCGATTTTGTTTTATGGCACTTAAAGCGTCAAACGTTGGGCGTTGCACATTTGCAGGTGCATTCCGTGTAATTAACAATACACTAGAATGGATGGTATGGCGACTTTTATCTCTTTCAATGTAGAGGACCTCTGAGTGCTGATTACCTACTGCTTCTGCTACATATGGTAAATATTTCTGCATGTGATATGGGATTATTACCACACAAAGCCACAAAACTCCAACTTGGATGGGTCTTCCGCAGTGTTGATTCTGTGACAGATTCTGGAGCTATTCTTGCGAAGTTATTCGTGTTCATTCAGTTATTGCGTGCGAAGTGTGTCAGCTTCTGGAGCTACAGTAATGCCTCTATTGTAGCACACCGCCCACGCAAATTCTAAGCCTTTCTCTCTGCACTCGCGGCGGGTTACGGGTGACGTCTGAGGCGCATGCAAATTAATCGCAAATTAACATACATTTGTACTCGTGCGAGGTTAGGCGTGGGAAGTCGATATAAATGGAATTGTGTTAATAGCATTAGCCTGGCCTGACCTGACCACAAGCTACAGATGCAGCCACAAGTTCTACTAGGTCAAAGCATTGTAGCTACATATTTGATAATTGCTGAAATTGTATAGGTTGTCCAAGGTTGAAAAGTTAACTTTTTCTTAATACACAAGTATATATGTAATATGGTATCAAACGTTTGATCGGCGCTCGCTACCTCTGAAAGCGAATACATTAGCATCCATTCCAGTGGGAGCTGTGATCTGGGAGCTGCGATCTGGGATCGGGGGGCAGGCTGGGGTTGCATTTGGACTTGGAGTTGGGGTGATGCGAAGCGAAGGCTTGAGCGGATTTGGTTAATTCCACGATACGCGGCAACGTTGAACGACTGGGGCTGAAAGTTGTGCTGCTTTTCCTTTTGAGCGCGATATTATGCCGCGATATTAATTGACAAATGAGATTTTTCCTTCCTACTCGACAGCGGAACAGCGACAGGGGAACTTTCATTTTGACCACAAGCCACAATCCACAAGCCACAAGCTACCAGCGTCTTGCCAGCTCAACTCAGCTCAAACGAAAAATACAGGCCAAGGCTGCATTCATACGCAAATGAAGAGACGGATGGTAGGAGGTGGCGTTTGGAGGCATCCAGCGGCATCGTCTCCAGCTGTCCGTTTGCCAACATTACTCGTAACTGTCTTGCCGCCTTTTGCAGTGTGTCTGTCTGATGGGTGCTTTATCTAGCGAAGAGACAGGATAGGTCAAACTGCCCCTCAGTCCCCGTTTCCTGTCCATTTCCATCTCCATCCGATTACTCCTGACAGGCCGGCAAAAAGATTGATAGATCCTGGAAAATGTGTTTGCAAAATAAGGTTTACTCTAACCACAATAAAGGCTAATAATACATAAATATGGATAAGATGGCAGCCATCTTTTATTGTAATTATGTATTTAGTTGCTAATAAGGTTTAACTTTTGTTGCTTTCTTCTAGAACGGACTGCGTCAATTGGATCTCTCGTTATTGTCACAACTGTGGGTGCTGAACGAGTCTATACAAGAGTTTCGCGCCATGATCGAGGAGCAAGAGAACGAAGATGAGGACGAGGAGGAGGGTATGGGATTGGGTGCTAATGATTTGGATGTCCAGAGGCATTCGCCAACGCCTTCATCGTACGAATCAGTTAGCTCTGAAGGCGGTGGAGATGTTGCCTCAGATGTTGTGTTGTCTGCAACAAAGGCAAAGTGCCTTGGCACCATACCAAAGGTCATAACCACACAGCCGAAAATTATTAGGGAGCTGATCTCACAACAGCACCAAGAGCAGCAGCCTGATGCGAAGCAAAAGCCAGTGCCCAGAATGCGGAGCGCACCACCTCCGCCCCCACATTCTGCCCTAGCCCTAGCCACATCCACATCTACATCCAGCATTGCGGCAACGACAGAGCGAAAACCGACTGCGCCATCACGACCCACATGATGTTACCTCACAGACTTCCTCGCCGGAGTCAGGATGGTCATGTGCAAGGCGATTGTGAACAACGGGCCGCAGTCGTCATCCTTCTGTAGCGCTGGATCATCCCTTGGACTCGGTGTGGCAAGTTTGTCGGACCAGAAACATTGATTGGGGGGTGGCTGTCTCATGCGTAGTTATATGCCCTGTAATTGACGAGATAACTGATCATACGTTCTTAAACGGGCTATTTCTCATCGCAGTATTTCTTGAAATCTCGTTGAAAGTCCTATGAATATTTTCGAAACCGACAAAAACAGCTTTTAAGTGATTTCAAGGCAATACAAAAATAAGGCATAACATATTAACTTACCTCAATACGAGTATAATCAATATAATCCAACCAGCCCAACCTAATCTAATCTAATCGGTAGAATCTTTAAGGCCAAACTATAGGCTCTCGTGTGGTTAGGTGGGAGGCCTTTGTGATCTTCAGTTGTAAGTCTATTGTAAATCGTTTCGTATGTAAGCCTCCGGGTTCAGGCATAGCGGGTTCAACGTTTAATTCGATTGTAATTGTAGCCCTTAAGACGAGCTTAGCTGTCAACAAAATCATCTCCCTAATTTTATTTGTGTTGCGGTTCATTTCCCTCGTGCATTTGACCAATAACATTTGTACATATGAATTTCTACGGCTTACTGCAAAGAATGTAATACATCCTATATAAAGAAAAATAAACCATCAAAGCAAAACAAATGTTTCCTCCTGTTTCTTTCACACCAGGCTTACTCCATCCAAGCCCAGCTGAATGCACGGAAAATCATAGCTGACAACGTTGCTGCTATCATAGCTGGAATAGAATGTCGGGCAAGCCTGGATTCCAGACAGCCCAGCCATCTTTATGTTCAGCTTGAGGCACATGTCCAGAGGCGTTACTAACGAGAGCACTGGCAGGCAGAATGTGGGTGGTGACGTAGTGCTGATGGTGAACTTTGTCATCGAATTTCCATCCATGGTGACACCTACATCTACTGACCCACTTAGTACGCTAATTTTGAATGTCAGGCACACTGCAATTGAGCAATTGAAGGAATTATAGAACGTACTGTACTACTGTTTTGGTGTTTTGTACTCCAACATACGAGTCTTGGTTGTATTGACAGCGTTCACTACAACGCTTTGGCAACAGCTGCAGGACAATGACAGCGAGCACGAGCATACTTGCGCCTGCGACGGTATGGTGATCAATCCCAGATTTGTTCCACTGGAGGTAGCGGCATCCGCCGCTGTGATGACTGCTATACCGTGAAGGCTGACAAGGGTTCCCAGGACCAAGATCAGAACTGAACTTGGATTAAACATGGTTTTACCGCTTTGGTACGAGGAGGAGAACTGGTCACAAATCTTTTTATCGAGCGGTTTTTGTAAACGAAATAAATTCCCACTGCAATAAGCTTTAATGCAAAATGATTTAGTTTTTGCGTACTCCAATTGATTTTGTAAAGGGTCATTTAATCTTTCGCAGATTTACTGCTGGGTTCAAAGTCAAGCGCACACTGCTAAAAATTTGGTAATGAAAACTAGTCCAGTAGTCAGTAGGAACCGAGCGAGGACATCATAGGAGCAAAGAGGGACCTGACGTGGCTGTACTTGCCACATAACTTTTCAACTGGTTGGGTTGTTTGTACAAATATTCTTCCAGATCATGGAATATATCAAATGACCATTTTGTACGTTTGAATTACAAAATTGTGGCGGTTCGAGCCAATCGTGGTCCGGCAACGACGCATCGTCGGAAGCCGTTGCTGGTTCCGTGAGCTATCAAGGACTAATAGTTCGGTTCGTGGTTCAACAAAATATTGACGGATGTATAGACATTTGAAATTTGCGCCTACAGAGATGCTTTGAACCACACAGAGCTGCCACATCGCAACTGTCTGACAGCCCTGGTTATGATATCGGCTTGCAATCTGACAAAAGCTCGCCGCCATACATGTTGGGTGTTGCGGAACAGCAGTGCTGCGATTCAAATATCTCGGCCAAAAAGGCACAGATCGGCTAAAGACCTACATTTTACATTTTGGCTTGTTTCCCTGTGGGCAAGTAAGTGAATCACTATATAATTGTCGATATTTATAAAGTATATCTTCCTTCATAGAGAACCGAGTCGTATCCCCCCGCCAGACGGAGTCCTAACCAAGCATTAGCGAGGCGCATTCGAGACAGACCGAGTCCTATCCCACCCCTTGCAAGATCCAAACCTAACATGCTATCGTCATCCTTCGACCTGGACATTGACAACAATGACTTTGACTATGGCAGCCAAGGGAGGAAGGTGCTACGCGAGATATTAGACTCTAGATAGATCTAGTTGTTGTTAGGTTTAGGGTTATACACGCCTATGCGTTTAGATGGTAAATATAAATGTTTTCCATTTGTATATTTACTTGTACTTGTACTTGTACTAAGTTTTGATGAATAAAAAAATGTTGTACTCATTGATGTTGCATTCCATTCTGTAACGGGGAAACTATCACGAAACTGGCCGATTTTTTTGGCTATCGGGCGAGTCCTGCCAATCGACTGTAATCGGAGAAAAGGAAATCAATTTTTTTCACGATTTTCGCAAAAAATCATGATGTAACAACAACAATTTTGATGCCCATCGACAGTCTGGATCCCCATGATCCTGCGAAAGTGGGTCCTTCGCCGATCGGCCCATAGTTAGCCGAGAAATAGCCTTCAGAAGATTTGCATTTGCACATCAGTAAAATACTGGTTTCTTCTGTATGCTATATCTCTGGCATACTGCAGCCGATCGGGGTGCGGCATGACTTTCCGTGATCGGGCGAGTCCTGCCAGTCAACTAGGACATCCATTTTTTCACGATTTTCGCAAAAAATCATGATGGTTACATCATTAAATTTGCCAAAAATCGGCCTCATTCTCGTATTCGAGATTTTGATGCCCATTGACAGTCTGGATCCCTACGATCCTGCGTAAGTGGGTCCTTCGCCGATCGGCCCATAGTTAGCCGAGATATAGACTTCGGAAGATTTGGATTTGCACATCAGTAAAATACTGGTTTCTTCTGTATACTATATCTCTGGCATACTGCAGCCGATCGGGGTGCGGCATGACTTTCCGTGATCGGGCGAGTCCTGCCAGTCAACTAGGACATCCATTTTTCCACGATTTTCGCAAAAAATCATGATGGTTACATCATTAAATTTGCCAAAAATCGGCCTCATTTTCGTATTCGAGATTTTGATGCCCATCGGCAGTCTGGATCCCCATGATCCTGCGAAAGTGGGTCCTTTGCCGATCGGCCCATAGTTAGCCGAGAAATAGCCTTCAGAAGATTTGCATTTGCACATCAGTAAAATACTGGTTTCTTCTGTATGCTATATCTCTGGCATACTGCAGCCGATCGGGGTGCGGCATGACTTTCCGTGATCGGGCGAGTCCTGCCAGTCAACTAGGACATCCATTTTTTCACGATTTTCGCAAAAAATCATGATGGTTACATCATTAAATTTGCCAAAAATCGGCCTCATTCTCGTATTCGAGATTTTGATGCCCATTGACAGTCTGGATCCCTACGATCCTGCGTAAGTGGGTCCTTCGCCGATCGGCCCATAGTTAGCCGAGATATAGACTTCGGAAGATTTGGATTTGCACATCAGTAAAATACTGGTTTCTTCTGTATACTATATCTCTGGCATACTGCAGCCGATCGGGGTGCGGCATGACTTTCCGTGATCGGGCGAGTCCTGCCAGTCAACTAGGACATCCATTTTTCCACGATTTTCGCAAAAAATCATGATGGTTACATCATTAAATTTGCCAAAATTCGGCCTCATTTTCGTAGTCGATATTTTGATGCCCATCGGCAGTCTGGATCCCCATGATCCTGCGAAAGTGGGTCCTTTGCCGATCGGCCCATAGTTAGCCGAGATATAGACTTCGGAAGATTTGGATTTGCACATCAGTAAAATACTGGTTTCTTCTGTATGCTACATCTCTGGCATACTGCAGCCGATCGGGAGGCGGCATGACTTTCCGTGATCGGGAGAGTCCTGCCAGTCGACTGTCATAGGAAAAAAGAACATCCATTTTTTCACGATTTTCGCAAAAAATCATGATGGTTACATCATTAAATTTGCCAAAAATCGGCCTCATTCTCGTATTCGAGATTTTGATGCCCATCGACAGTCTGGATCCCCATGATCCTGCGAAAGTGGGTCCTTCGCCGATCGGCCCATAGCTAGCCGAGATATAGCCTTCGGAAGATTTGGATTTGCACATCAGTAAAATACTGGTTTCTTCTGTATTGTATATCTCTGGCATACTGCAGCCGATCGGGGTGCGGCATGACTTTCCGTGATCGGGCGAGTCCTGCCAGTCAACTAGGACATCCATTTTCCCACGATTTTCGCAAAAAATCATGATGGTTACATCATTAAATTTGCCAAAAATCGGCCTCATTTTCGTAGTCGATATTTTGATGCCCATCGGCAGTCTGGATCCCCATGATCCTGCGAAAGTGGGTCCTTTGCCGATCGGCCCATAGTTAGCCGAGATATAGACTTCGGAAGATTTGGATTTGCACATCAGTAAAATACTGGTTTCTTCTGTATACTATATCTCTGGCATACTGCAGCCGATCGGGGTGCGGCATGACTTTCCGTGATCGGCCGAGTCCTGCCAGTCAACTAGGACATCCATTTTTTCACGATTTTCGCAAAAAATCATGATGGTTACATCATTAAATTTGCCAAAAATCGGCCTCATTTTCGTATTCGAGATTTTGATGCCCATCGACAGTCTGGATCCCCATGATCCTGCGAAAGTGGGTCCTTTGCCGATCGGCCCATAGTTAGCCGAGATATAGACTTCGGAAGATTTGGATTTGCACATCAGTAAAATACTGGTTTCTTCTGTATACTATATCTCTGGCATACTGCAGCCGATCGGGGTGCGGCATGACTTTCCGTGATCGGCCGAGTCCTGCCAGTCAACTAGGACATCCATTTTTTCACGATTTTCGCAAAAAATCATGATGGTTACATCATTAAATTTGCCAAAAATCGGCCTCATTTTCGTAGTCGATATTTTGATGCCCATCGGCAGTCTGGATCCCCATGATCCTGCGAAAGTGGGTCCTTTGCCGATCGGCCCATAGTTAGCCGAGATATAGACTTCGGAAGATTTGGATTTGCACATCAGTAAAATACTGGTTTCTTCTGTATACTATATCTCTGGCATACTGCAGCCGATCGGGGTGCGGCATGACTTTCCGTGATCGGCCGAGTCCTGCCAGTCAACTAGGACATCCATTTTTTCACGATTTTCGCAAAAAATCATGATGGTTACATCATTAAATTTGCCAAAAATCGGCCTCATTTTCGTATTCGAGATTTTGATGCCCATCGACAGTCTGGATCCCCATGATCCTGCGAAAGTGGGTCCTTCGCCGATCGGCCCATAGCTAGCCGAGATATAGCCTTCGGAAGATTTGGATTTGCACATCAGTAAAATACTGGTTTCTTCTGTATGCTATATCTCTGGCATACTGCAGCCGATCGGGGTGCGGCATGACTTTCCGTGATCGGGAGAGTCCTGCCAGTCGACTGTCATAGGAAAAAAGAACATCCATTTTTTCACGATTTTCGCAAAAAATCATGATGGTTACATCATTAAATTTGCCAAAAATCGGCCTCATTCTCGTATTCGAGATTTTGATGCCCATCGACAGTCTGGATCCCCATGATCCTGCGAATGTGGGTCGTTCGCCGATCGGCCCATAGCTAGCCGAGATATAGCCTTCGGAAGATTTGCATTTGCACATCAGTAAAATACTGGTTTCTTCTGTATGCTATATCTCTGGCATACTGCAGCCGATCGGGGTGCGGCATGACTTTCCGTGATCGGGAGAGTCCTGCCAGTCGACTGTCATAGAAAAAAAAGACATCCATTTTTTCACGATTTTCGCAAAAAATCATGATGGTTACATCATTAAATTTGCCAAAAATCGGCCTCATTCTCGTATTCGAGATTTTGATGCCCATCGACAGTCTGGATCCCCATGATCCTGCGAAAGTGGGTCCTTCGCCGATCGGCCCATAGCTAGCCGAGATATAGCCTTCGGAAGATTTGGAATTGCACATCAGTAAAATACTGGTTTCTTCTGTATGCTATATCTCTGGCATACTGCAGCCGATCGGGGTGCGGCATGACTTTCCGTGATCGGGAGAGTCCTGCCAGTCGACTGTCATAGGAAAAAAGAACATCCATTTTTTCACGATTTTCGCAAAAAATCATGATGGTTACATCATTAAATTTGCCAAAAATCGGCCTCATTCTCGTATTCGAGATTTTGATGCCCATCGACAGTCTGGATCCCCATGATCCTGCGAATGTGGGTCCTTCGCCG